ACCCAGGGACTGAACCTGGGTCTCCTGCATTAAAAGGCAGATTCTTCACCATCTGAGCCACCAAAGAAGCCCAATATACAGATGAAATGATTTACAAAACAGAAACCGGCTTTCGGCGCAGAAGGCAGCTTCTGGTTACTAAAGGGGAAAAACGGGAGCAGGGATGTGCATCCTACTGTGTACAAAACAAAGGAACAGCAAGGTCCTACTGTACTGCTCAGGAGATGCTGCTCAGTATCTTATAATAACCTGCAGTGGAAGAGAATCTGAGAAAGACCAGACAGAGGGGTAACTGAGTCACTTTACTGTATACTTGAAACTGAGACAACATTGTAAACTGGCTACAAGTGAAAAAAAGAAGAGTGCCTGGCTAGGCAACTGTCTCCGTTGGAAATATTCTGAGGAGCAAAAGGGTACATTGCAAAACAGGGAAAAATGAAAGCAGGCGTGTCACTTAAGAGGTTACTTTGTCCAGAAGAAAGGTGATTAAGATCGGAACTGGAGAAAGCCAGGAACTGGAGAAACAGATTCAATAAGTAGGTAGAGAATGAAGTTACATGATCCAGTGAGACTATTCGCTCTAATGAAATGGATCCTAGATACTTCTAACAATATGCTTTGTACATTTTTAAGTTTCAAGAAAGCAACTAGATGGAAGCCAGAGGCATTTCTACATGAAGTAAATATTTATAAAATAGATTCGGGAGGAAAACGTACATCTTTTTGGTTCACATTGAAGGAAAATTTTCTTAAAATATCCAATTATGTTTTATTCTGACCCTATCAGTCCATGAAATGTATCAAACAGGTCTCCTTTGACTTCTCAAGATCTTTAAATACTGACCTATCAATGGAATGAGAAAGATGCAAATGAAATAATTCTCAAATGAGTGGGTTAGTGAATTCTGGATCGAAAGCAATTTCAATATTTTTAAGCACCAAATATTTTTTTAACATGTTAGAAATCTCTCATTAGTCTCCACTGAATTATACTTTTCATTTCCTAAGTCTAGTATGATGTGTTTATTATAATGTAATTTGAATATAAGGGGGAAAAAAGAAGGCAACTCTAGTCATAAAACTATGTTAATTAATATTATTAAATGTGGTATAAGACATTCCAAATGTTTTACGCTTAACAGAGTAGAACTGACTCATCAGGATAGAATGGGTGGTTTTAAAACCAGAAACAAAACAATATCGCTGTTTCTTTTGAGCAAGGGCACTTACTCTATTAGTGACTTAGAAATTACTAATAAGTCTAATATACTTGGGGCTTCCCAGGTGGTGCTAGTGGTAAAGAACCCACCTGCCAATGAAGGAGACATGAAAGATGTGGGTTCGATCTCTGGGTTGGGTAGATCCCCTGGAGGAGAGCATGGCAACCCACTCCAGTATTCTTGCCTGGAGAATCCCATGGACAGAGGAGCCTGGTGGGCTATACAGTCCATGGGGTCTTAAAGAGTCAGACACACCTGAGCAACTGTTTTGCAGTTCAGTAAGTAAATCAGTGGGCTACATGATTTTTCTTCTGAACTATGTTAATCACCTTTCAGTTTCCACCTCCCCGCTATCTTTCTACTCTCATCACACTCATATATTGCTGTCCATTTAATTTCCTAAACACAATTCTCATTCTATTGCTTCTTACTCAAAAAACCTCCAGTGGCTCCTGATCTCCCTTCTAATAAAATCTCAACAACCTTAATCTGTTATGCAAGGACCTTTCCTGATTTCTCCACAACTTAAATGTTGAGTCTAAGCTTCTGCTTCTTTTTTTTTTTTTCATTCACCCTTGATTTTGTCAAGATGCAGTGCAAGCCCTTGATGAGGAGGCACCACTGATTGAAGAGTCCATCATTCGTTTCATGCACATCTTACTCCAGAGCCTATGGACGGTAAGTTTCTTCTGAAATTGATTCTAATGCTCCTCTGGGCATTAAAATATGAAAAGATAATGTGACTGAGAAATAAGGGGAAAGTCCTCGTTGTTTTCCACATTTCTCATACTTCCTGCCTCTTGTCCCTGGCTAGAACAATTCTCTCTGCTTTCTACTGCTGCAGAACTGCGTAACCAAAACCCACCTACCTGAAAATCTATTCAAGTAGAAAAGAATCCTTGAGCATCTTTCTCTTCACTGAGCTACTTGAACTCCCCAAGAAAATGATTAGAACCACTCATGGGCACTTGTCACTCCCCACTTGATAACCAACAACTCTTTCTTTAATACTAGATTGTCTGCAGGTTGAGGACAATCAGGATTTATTGGCTATTTCACATTCTCTTTTTGCCATGCAGTGCAACATTCTAAATACAATGTCTACAAGACACTATGCAACATATATTTGTTGAGCAAATTACTCAGTGACAAACACACATTTAATAAACGTCGGATTTCTAACACTTCATTTTCATTCTGTCACTAATTAACCATGTGACCTGAGACAATTTACTTAACCTCCTAGGGCTGAGGTCTCAAATGACACAATAGATGAGATAATGGGTGTGTGAATACTCCGTAGAAATCGTAAGATCAGTTCGCGGTGCTAGCATTGTTTTCTTTTCTGAGAAACGAGACAATTGAATCTGATCTATTTCAAAACAGTCTGTGAGTACCATTCCACAATGATAGGACTGCAAGTTTTTGCTTTTGCTTAAGTGCGCTGGCTGAAAGCATGAGGTGACTTAAGCGGTCAGAGAACCTGCCTCTTACAAAGCTTCTCTGGATCCCTGATGCACCCGTGAATAACCCTGCTGTGATTATCATTCCAAACAGCTTTGCACCCTGTGGCCAGGTCAAATAAGACCAGAAGTATTATGAACCAATGCTAATCAGGCCTCTCTGATACTCTGAGGTCAAAGGAGCCATTCTTGGGACTTGGCTGGTGGTTCCGTAGTTAAGACTTGCTCTGCAATGCAGAGAGTTCGGGTTCAAACCCTGGTCAGGGAACTAAGATCCTACATGTCATGCAGCACAACCAAAATACAAAAATTAAAAAAGAACAAGGGAGCCGTTTTCACCAAGAAAGAGAGAGGTGTTATTACAGCAATATAAATCACCCAAGAGTTTGGTTCAAAACTTTTTTATTAGCTAAAACTTTTATTAATAAAAGTAGATTAAAAACATATCAAGAGTTCAATATTTTAAAGAATCACCCTTAGGAAATAGGCATATGGTGACTGGTGTTAACTGTAATGATATACTATAATTAACACTACAGAGTCTTGAGCCTCACATCTCTGCCTTGAGATGGGTTTCCCACTTTGGCTCAATACCATTCAGTTCCCTTTGATTCCATTTATATTTGTTTCCATTCAAGCTTATATCATGATACCATGGGTAGAAGGCAGGCTTTATCTCAGATCTTAGAATTCAGGGGCTTCAACTCCAACTATTTGTCTGACATTTGTAAACTTATCTAATCTCTCTGAACCTTAATTTCCTCATCTACAAAATATTAGGCACTTCATAATAGAGATAATGTCCCTAGTGCATAGATCATTTCATCTTCCTCTTACTACTTTAATTCATGCCAGTTCAACTTGACTTAATTCAACAAACATCAACTATTATCAACTACAGGGCTGGGACATTAGAACAGCATCATTGCAAACGTGGGGTTCTGAGAAGACAAAAGGTTATGTCTAGGAAAATATGTATAACTTGCTTAAGTAAGGAATGAGGTTGTATTGGGGAGTGATACAGATGTATATGGCACGGAACACAAGGTGAAGGGCGATTTGGGCATTCCATGTTTATGAACACATCAAGGTCTCCAGAAAATTCAGTTGAGGACATCACACTGTGGCACGTGTCGTAATCTCAATCAAAACTTCCCGATTTCAATCAGTTCTGACTTGACGGAGAAGCTCGCACCAGCTCTCAATGTTTGTGCAGCTGGAACATCCCTTCATTTAGGAATTCAAATGCTCTCAGCATTGATTACAGTTGTGGCATAGGTAATTTATAACTGTTCTCCTAGCATTTGGTTACAATGCACAAGGAATCTGCAAATGTATAAGCGCATTTGGGGGGCTTTCCTGGTGGCTCAGATGGTAAAGTCTGCCTGCGATGCAGGAGACCCGAGTTTGATCCCTGGGTCAGGAAGATCCCCTGGAGAAGGGAATGGCAACCCGCTCTAGCCTTCTCACCTGGAGAATTCCATGGACACAGGAGCCTGAGAACTGACATTGGGACTTGGCTGGTGGTTCCATAGTTAAGACTTGGGGTCACTCAAATCTCAGCAGCTAAGCGCATAAAGTTTACCATTTTCTCCTGCAAATGTGCTATGTGCCAGGCGGTTCTCCCAGGAGGCTCTCCTCCGCTGATGACTCAGCGATCAGGCTCCTGTTTTTTTGTCCTCTCAACAAGCAGCCTGCATGGTTTCCACTCAGGCCGAGATGAGAAAGACCGAACAATTGTGGGAGGACTACTCTTTGCCTTTAGTTGAGAGGAACACATCCACTTATGTTCATTGGCCATAATTAGTCACATGAGCCTGCCTTACTGCAAGGGGGCTGGGAAACACTGGCTCTGGTATGTCAGAAAAAAAAAAAAAAAGAATGACCATTTACTAAAGCTTTATTAATGTCTCATTCACAAAGGAAAGCCTGATGTGTCTTTGCTCTGAAAACGTGGGGTGTGATCAGAAGGGCTGTCGTGGGATGGGGGCATCCTCCAAGTCACCGGAATCCCCTGGCATTCCCGAGTCTCTGCAGCGGAGCAGGACCTAGATTAAGAGGAGACTAGTCCAGGAAGAAGAGAGCCTGGAAGATGGAAGCTGGATTTACCGGACGAATCTTCTAGACTTCGGGTAGGTAGGAAGAGCAGGCTACAAGGAGGCACCTTATCAAATAGCCCGTGGCGAAGTGGCCTGGATTCCTGGAGCGTTTCTGGTTGTCTTGGTGACTCCAGGATGGGAAACCAAAGCTCCTCAGGCAAGAGCTGTGTGAGAGCTGAGATTTCTTGACTTTGGGATACTGTGCTCTTGTGCTGTGTCTATTCAGCTGAGCTGGAGCTCTGCTCCCAAATCCCTTTCCCGTTATGGCTGCAGGCGAGGGCCGGCCACCGAAAGAAATCCGCGGGTGACGGATGCCGAGGGAGAAGAGGCTGCGGCAGGAGCCCGGAGCTCGGGATTGACACGTGTGCCCCGCTGACACGCGGAGAGAGTGGGCAGCTAGTGAGAACTTCCCGTGCGGCACAGGGGACGCTGCCTGCCGCGCCGCGGTCGGTAAGCCCGACAGGGGCTCCCAGCAGGCGGCGTCTACACGGATGTGTGACTGGTCCACCTCGCTCGGCAGGGGAGACCGTCGCCGAGAGTGGGATGCGGCTGAAGCCGCTCGGCGTGTGTGCGTGCACCGCCGTATCCTTGCTCCGACTCATCCCGCGCATGACATCGGCAGCGAGGGCAGCCCCATGAAGCTCAGTAAAGCTCAGTAAAAATGAACTCAAAAAGAAAAAAAAAAAAGCTTCCGCAGGAGTCTTTCATTTACTTTTCATTGGCTTCTGCAAAGCACACGCGAAGAAGCAGCGGCGGCGGGTCCGCTGGAGGGCTGGAGCGGGGTCGGGGCGGCTGGGCGTCGGCCCGGGAGCCCGGATCGCGGGGCCGCAGGGGAGCAGGGGCCGGGCCCGCGCGGCCCGCCGCCCCAGGCCGCTCCTGCCGCTTCTCCGGCCCGAGGGCCGTCTTCTGCGGTCACGGGCCGGGTTCTCCTGCCGAGCGCTCACGCGGGCAAAGCCGGGGGCTCGGAGGCCGTGACAGCCCCGCGGGCCCTGCCTCGCCCCCGAGGAGGTCCACACGCCCGGCCTCCCCACCCCACAGCCGCCCCGTCCGGCCGCTGTCATCCCTGCTGAGGTCGCGCCCGGGACGCGATGCCGAAGCGACGACACCGTGATGCACGCGCGCAGAGGCACCGCCGCGGGCCCTGCCCTTTGGGAGCCTACGGACGCCAGCCCACCAGACTCCTCCATCCATGGGCTCACCGTGAGGGATACTGGAGTGGGTTGCCATCATCTCCTCCAGGGAATCTTCCCGACCCAGGGGTCAAACCCGGGTCCCTTGTATCCCCTGCATTGGCAGGTGGGTTCTTTACCACAAGCGCCACCGGGAAGCCCGACACTGTGATACCATAGCCAAAACCAGGTCTGTTTCCCCACGTTGAACCCGAGGTGTTCCACCTGCCTTGGCCTGACTTCACCTGCGCCGCGTGGAATACGCGTGGGGAGAAGGGGGCGGTGGGGTCGGGGCAGCGGCTTGCGAGATGGTCTGCAGGGGCGCCCCCGGCGCTATCACAGCTACACGGCCGACAGCCCCCGCATCCCCGCGGGGCGCGAGGACGTTAGAGAAAGGGATGCGGCGGCGGGGGCACAGGCTTCTCAGGGACAGCGGCCGCCCCCCTCAGCCACCGTCACCAGGTGACGATAGGGACACCCCGCATCCTAGATTCAATCCTCCTGCAAAGCTGGGGTTCACATTTCCGTACAGTTTCCCGATTTCAACTGTATGTAACAACAACAAAAGCAAACACTAAATCTGTATTTTTATTTCTAAGTCAATGTTTGAAGTGAACAAATCCTGTCTAGAGGAGAGATTGATCCCAGGTTAGGCATGTGCCTCAGAGTCAAATTAATTACCTTGCTTCAAATCCAACCTCCATCACTTTCTAGACAAGGTACCTCGGGCAAGTTACGTCCCTACCTCCGCCCTTCACCTGGAGGCGAGAGGAGTAACACCCCTCTTATAGGACGTCTGCGGATCAAATGAGTTACTAAATACCTTTCCTTGTTTCTAAGACACTACTGAATGTGAGATGAACGATTTTTTTTGTTTGTTTCTGTGAGAAAGAAGAGATGGTGGCTAATTAACCCATAACACAATTCTTTCTTATCACTTAGCGTTATTGTGTTATAATTACTGGAAAAGCTTTTTCAGAGTTATTTTGCCATAGATTTTTTTTTTTATCATTTATCACTCTGAGCACACATATAAAGGAAATATAAGTGAAACAATGGAGTTTGGTATTCTTAAACCTCAGTACGCAGTCCAATACCTGAGTTATTTTTCATCTCTGTTTTTCCACAGTATTATTCCTGGTGCTATTAAAAGTATGGTTGATGCAGCATTTCTTTGACACTGCTCCTCCATTTTCTCCAGGAATTTCTTCCAAGCTGCTGACACCCCTAGCGAGAGTTTTCTTACCGACACTTTCTTGATTTTACCAGAAGATGTCCCATGGAAAAATGTCAGGCAGCGGAAAGGCTTGTATTCTTTTTTATCTGAGGTGAAAGTTGCTCAGTCACGTCCGACCCCCTGCGACCCCATGGACTGCGGTCCTCCAGGCTGCTTCATCCATGGGATTCTCTGGAGAACACTGGAGTGGGTTGCCATGCCCGTCTCCAGGGGGTCTTCCCAACCCAGGGATCAAACCCAGGTCTCCGGAACTGCAGGCAGATTCTTTACCATTTGAGCTACCCAGGAAGCCCATTCTTTTTTAAAACGGCCCTTAATTTAAAGATTATTGGCTAAACATTCAAAGGATTTCAGTTATTCACCAAGAATAAAAAAAGATCATGCCTATAGAAACAGTGTTGTTTGGTTGAAGGTGGAAGTCCAAATGTCATCAATTGTATGATATTTTTCTACATATTAAATATAAAAAAATAAAATAGTGCATTCAATTTCATTCAATAGAGTCTCTGCAAAGCTCTTAGAAGATAATGCAATATCAAAGTGTTTGATAAATAAAATCTACAAAAAGGGGGAAAGTTAGCCTGTCTACTTAAGCCTTATTTTATCATGAATTACCTGTGTTCTTCCTTAAGACATCGATCTTTTCGTCCATGAGACAGGTACAGTCTGGGTTGTATTGATCGCAGGTGACAGCACCCGGCTGAGTGGAAGGTCACGTGTAGAATGCTATGTTTGTGTCAGTTCAGCCAATCGGAGTCTAAGTGTTGAAGGGTCAAACCTAGAAAAAGAAAGGGGTACAGATGGTTCAAGATCAGGGTCTCTCGGGGAAGGGCAGGTCAAACCAGCAGAGTTCCTCAGAAAAGTAAAAGCAAAAGACCTATAAAAACTCTTTAGGCCACAGATGTAACCTGCTGAGGGCGAGAACAAATAAAAACCCTTGATCTGAAAAGAGAGGAAACAGCAAAGACAGCATATCCTTGAGTTGGCGGTTCGGATGGAGGGCTCTTGGGAAGCTTGAGTCAAAGCCTGACCTATGATGATCTGGCCACCAGAGTCCAGGAAGAGCCACTCTGATGTGAGGTCCTGGGGCCCCTGTGTCCGTCGAATCTGGAATCCAGAGATCTTCCCTCGAGAGATAATCCACCAGCCTCAGCTTTCCGGTTCCTCCTCATTTTGGTTCAGCCTCCCTGCACCCTAAGCCAGGAACCTGTCAGAACCTAGAGAAGGACCCCAGCACTGGGGAGAAATCAGGCCTCCCCTCTCCTATCCCACCTTCCACAATTACAAATGATTCTGCAAGCTGAACAGGATTTTGCCCGCCTCACTTACCGTGATTGTACGACAGCTGTATAATCGATGTTGCTGAAGACCCGCACGCGGCTCACAGCGTAGCGTAAAGGTCCACAGTGAGCCGCAAATGTGGAGAAGAATGGCCCGGCCTGCGCAGTAATTGGTATTATTATTGGAGTGAATGGGAAAGCCACATATGGATGGATGGGTGGGGCTGTGACTGGGTGCAGCATGTATTTTCTCTTCTCTATGTTCTCTCAAACAACCAGCCAGAGAGGGGATGAAGCCACAGAGGCACCAGGTGGGATGTCGTGAAGAGGGTGAGGCTGATTACCCAGGACTCAGTCGCCTCGCCTTTCCTCCCCGTCTGAGCCCACGTCCATGAATTGCAATACAGCGTGTGGCATGAGTTTTCTCCTCCCTGAAAAAGACTCTGTTACAAAAGGGTAGATGGATAGACGCGGGTGAAGGGGGCGGGCTGATGGGGAGACAGGGAAGAGAAACACTTCAGGTTAATTGGAGCTGAGAATATAAAATACTCGTCTTAAAGTGTGTGCTTCAGTTATGAGCAGGAAAGTGTCGCGATCATAATGTTTTCTGTGTGGGGTTCAACACAGCATGGGTGTTTTAAAACAAGCGGTAATCATTTCTCATGGAGAAATTACAAGCTGCAGTTCCGGGCTCAGGACAAGCCCCTGGGAGACTCCTGTCCCCTTTCTCCGGGGAGACACCAGGAGACACGCATGGTAGTTAGCGGCTGAGTCCCTTGAACCAAATGGTAGAGTTAGTGATGGAGAGAATTGTACAGTTTAATTCAATCAGTGCTTTATTCATTCAGAAAGAAATGACACAGAATTCTTCCAGAATTCTGACAAGTAGGAGAGAAGGAATTTTGGTTTGGAGAAGCAAACTGCCTGGCTTCTAAAGAGACTGCAAAGCAAACTGGTCAACTTTGCAATAGGGAAATTAGCACAATACAGTTACAGTGATTCATTTGACGAAGCTGGCTGTGTCGTGTATTTCCTTTAAAGAGGAGACCTTCTGAGCCGGATGCAAAAACACCTCTGCCCTGCAAGCGCTTTGCTCTGCCTGCTCTCATCCTGGGTGCATTCTTGTGGCATCAACGTCGCTGCAAGGTCTCTGTTTAAAGATTCCTTTCTACCAGCAATGATTTCTCTAAAGTAATGAACAATGCACTGCACAACACTAAGTTAAAAATGCTTAGAAATAAATGCAGAGGCATTAGTCACAATTATCCACACAGTTCTTCAAAATGGTAGCACATGAGAAGAAAAGGGGTCCCTCTCACCCTTTTTCTGAAGACCATCTTTGTTTACTTCATTCTCAAGTATTAAGAGATTGCAGGAACCATTTGCATAGGATAACTAACATATACCACATCATTTGCACGTCTGCAAGTACACGTGAGTAACCGTAATTACACGTGACACCAATTACTCTATTACTTTGTATTAAATTATAATGGAAAATTCCACTAGAGAATTGAAGCCTAATTGCATCTTAATTTGCATAATTTTGCATATTAATTACATCTCAGATGAATAATAAATTTCAGCAGATTTTTAATTTATGCATAGACACAAAAACAAGTGGAGAAATAATTTAGAAAAAAAAATACCAGCAACTATTACTTAGGGCATTCAACTAATTTTGCTTAGTTTAGCAAAACAAAACTTGGTTTGTTTAATATAGCATCTTTGGGCTGATTGCTGTTTATTGCACAGTATGTCAGTCTTGAAACATAGGTGCAGACATGGCTTTTCTTAATAAAATAAAATGTTCAATTATAGCATTTTAAGTTTGGAATTTTATATTTTGATAAAACTGTCTCCAACAATCATTTAGTTGAAAATATTTTTAATTGTTATACATTTTTATTGAGGCTTAATTTCTGTGCTATTTATTTTAAATGCAAAAATATGACCAAAAATAGACCATAAAAATATCCTGGTGAAGGAGATCACTAATAAAAAGATGTCAAATGCTTTCTAATTTTGAGTCTACTATGAAGTCACCCAAGATTGTTTTAGTGATTTTGCATGAATGGTTCAGAAGGAGAAATTCCCTACATTTTTGTTTTGCAGAGTAAAACAATTCATAGGACTAGCTTTTAAAGATTACTATTATTTTCTAGCTGTTTTCTCTATTTTTCTTGCCTGCATGGTAAACAGAAACAAATCTTCCTTGCTAGAGACCTTGGTTTTAAATTTAGTCACCCTTGCTTTGGATTTATCAAACAAACAGAAGGTTTATTTCTCTGAGATAATTAATGCATTTTGGTCACATAGCTTTATCTAGGTTGACAGTCAAAAAAAGCAACACCAAGTCTTCCTCAAATGACAGC